TTTTTTTTTCTTTTTTTTTCTTTTTTTTTCTTTTTTTCAGACTTCTCAAACTTCAGTACCTGGATTTCTCAAACTGCACAGTGTCTGTTGCAGATCTCCAGAGTGTTCTTTGTCTCTGTGAAAGACTGCAGAACCTCAGCTTGGAGGGACTAGTGCTTTCTGACAACATCATCAAGTGAGTGGCACATTTGGGAATATTCAGTAAATACCTTGTGTTTGGTGCCATCATTTTGTGCAGGCTAGTGAAAGAATGCAGTGGAGAGTTCTTCATTGTGGAGTCCATTGAAATGGCCAGTTTTAGGCACCTAACAGGACAAGCTGGCTTGCTAGATGAGCTGCCTCTTTCTATCCTCCAAGAGATGAAGCACCCCTATAGAAAAGTGTGTCTTTTTTGTTTTTTCCAATTCCCCAAAGTAGGAGGAGGTTGGAGAAACTGCTCATCTCTCTAGGGTTTGTGTCCATTGGCTGTTCCCACATCCAAGCTGTACAGCAGAGCTACTTTTATTTTCTCATTTTTGTGCTCCCAAGAGAACTGTGTGTTTGGTAGGCAGGTTCCTTTCTGTTATAAGGGCTCTGGGTGGCTCTCCCACCAAATGCTTATTGGGCTTCTGCACTATTGCTCACTTCTTTGTTGAACTTCACTTTGAGGTCCTGGAAAATTACAGATTCTGTCAAGCAGATGAACCATTTTTTTGGTTGTACTGAAAAGACACTCATGGCTGTGCAGTCATCCTCCTGTTCAGTCACATCAGGTGATTGTGGAGGTGCCAGGGCCATAGGTCAGATGGCAGAGATTCTGGCTGTCTTACTTTCTGATGCCTTCCTCACTCCAGAGAGGGGGAACCAGACACAAATCAGTATAGTTTGGCTTTTGATACCAGGTGAAAACTATGGGAAAATTGCATACTAATCAGGCATTAATGATGGAATTTTATTGCTTTGTGTACAAATGTAGATACTGGGTTAAGTTTTTCCAGGTTTTGCCACATGCATGTCTGTTCTAGTCTTGCAAACAAATGCGCTCAGAGGATGCTATTTGGACATGTTTTGTTGTAGAGTAACCTCTCTCTTGCAGGAGGATGACATCAGAAACAGGATTGTTGCTTTGCCTTTTGTTGAGGCATAGTCATCTCTGATAAGATATGGTGTGTGTTTATTGGCATACAACAGAAGAAGGTGAAAAGAAATCTTTTCCTTGTAAACTTGGTAGTTTATAAACATGCAGACTTGTCAGGAATGTCAAGTAAATAGACAGGTATCCCTTTTAATGTTGTGCTTTGATTCAGCAAGCACAGAGTTGAGACCCTTAGTGACTCAGGTTTGTCAGTTGATTAAAGATGCAGTACTGCTTGTTTAGTAAGTCACTCCGAGCCTGGGATCTTAGATCTTAAAAATAATCACATATCCTAGCAATGCAAGTGATGTTCCAACATTTAAATTTTATCAGACTTTTTTTTTCTCTCCCCAGGAGCATTGCTAGGAATCCCAATTTGATACGATTAAATCTTTGTGGGTGCTCAGGGTTCTCTGCAGAAGCCTTGGAGATGATGTTGAGCAGCTGCTCTGTGTAAGACAAAACCAGTTTTTGCTGTTCCTGCTTAGTGCTATTCCTGAGAAAAAAGATCCTTTTTATTTTTTTCCCTTGGGCATCCCAGTTGTACTTGTATCTAACACCTTTGCTTTTTTTTTATGTGCCTGTTTCTGTTCCTAAATGCCTAACAGTTGAATATTAGCAGAATAATCTGGTAGTTTCTTTCTATCAAGCTATTTTCTTCCTTAATAGCAAAGATACGTTTTGGTAGTTTTTCCTTAGTCATCCTTGTTGGTCATTAAACCCCATTTATGTCCTGTACATTTGATTTTCTAAACGAAAACAGGATGTGATTCTCACAAAGTGAAAGTTTGTGTTTTAAAACTGGAAAGTGGAGTCCTCGAGCTCTCTTTGCAATCACAGTACGGCGTGAATGCCAGAGAATACTACCTTTCCATGGTAGAATAATCCTTCAGTAACCTTCTAGTTCATGAAGCGCTGTGTTCAGATTGACAGCTCTTCAGAGATTAAACCATCTGCTGGCAGGAAGTCATTGAACTGAGCCCCAGTGAGTCTGGGATTTATATCCCAATCTTTCTGCTGACTTCCTGTGACATGCTAGACAATGTATTTAATCTTTCCTTCTGCAAAAGCATGTTTTTTAATCAAATTGCAAGTTAATGGGCAGCGAAAGCTTTAATCTTTCTTGTTGCTTGGTCTGGTTACTTGGAGCATGAGCTCTTTAGAGGATGGCAGTCTGTGCAGTGCACAGTGAATAGCAGATGGCAAACCTGATCCTGGGAATGCTAGTGGCAATTTAACTGTTTTTTCATTTACGTAGAGATTGCCAGCTAAATGCTGTAGTTGTGCATTCACTGTGTCTTTGTCCTATGGTTACAGCTACACCACCTGCACACAGAACAATACTTTGTCCAACCCCATGGTGATAGGCTATAGATAAACAAGCACGTAAAGAGAGTTAAGCTCACAGCATGACCCAATGTTTATATAAAACTATAAAGTATTTTATGCTAATTAGGATTAATTGGTCATCTGACCAGCGCTAATGATTGGATAGTGTTTTTTCCTTTCAATGTGACCATCTGCTCAGTAGTAACAGATTCAGGTCACAAACTCTGATGAAAAGCCAGTGTCTCCCTGTGGCAGCCCTTCACTTCCTAAGACAGTGAGTCATTCCAGGTGGAATGGGTTTTGGGAAGTCACTCTAGTCCCTTGTCCAGATCAGGATCTAAAATTAGCACTGGCCAGGTTGATAAGGACTTTTTCTGGTTGGATCTTGAAAATATCCAAAGACAGATTCTGCTGGGTAACCTGCTCCAATAATTAGTGCTTAATCATTGTCATAGCAGAATTTCTACTCATGAATAGTTGGTAGTAGGTGTGTTACAAGTATTTCCTTTAAAAGCATCAACTGTAATAGCAAATATCAGAACTTGAACTGCAGTTCATTCTTGTTAACTACTCTTTGTTCATTTGTATTTAGGCTGGAGGAGCTGAACTTGTCCTGGTGTGACTTCACAGCCACACATGTCAAATCAGCAGTCAGTCACATTACTTCACAAGTCAACCAATTAAATTTAAGTGGATATAGAGAGAATCTACAAATAGCAGGTAAATAGCAGCATGACAAATATTTATCCCACTGTGGGATAAAGCAACAGATTTTATATTTTCTTCTAGTTGGCATCCACTCTCTGTAAAAAAACCCCATGTATTAACACTGATTTTTATGCTCTGTATAGCTTGAAGTTGTTGGTATCAGGAATTTTACTCCTAGCTCAGTCAAGAAGGGTGAGATGATTTTTCTTCTGAATTTAAAAACAGTCAGGTAAAAGCTCATTTCATCTTCAGTTGAAAGGTATAGCCCTTACTTCTGAAGTAAGTCCTGGAAGCAGAACTTTGTGTTCCACTGTGAATTAGCCCCCCAGATACTGTTCCTGGAGCTTTCCTAAAGTTCCTAGTGTTGTGGCTGCTGAAAGCATCTTCCAAAAGAGAGTAGTCACAGTAACTGCTTGAGTTTCAGACTGACATACAGGTGCCAGTTAATTGAAAGGCAAATAATCTCAGTAATCAACCTTTAACTATTTACTTGCTAATAGTTCTAGGAGGAGAAGTTGTGTAAAGTTGGAGGGTAATAGAAAATGGAGATAAATCTAGATTTGGGGAGAGGATACAACAAAACAAGACATGAAAAGTGATATTGCTTTGGTGCTAAAGAGAAATTAATTTTCTCAATGAGTGAATTTGACAATAGGGCACTAGCTGAAATGCAGGTGGTGACCTCTCTTATTTCTCTTTTTAACATCACATAGACCCCGATATGTCTTCTCCTTGTGGGGATATATGGAAATCTTACCTCAGCCCCAAACCCACAAACAAATATGGTACATAATCTCGTTCACAACAAGAATTTAAACTTTCTGTTGATTGGACCGTTAGAGACAACGTGCTGTTCTCTTCTGTTTGCCAAACACTGACTTCACTCTGTTACAGTGCAATTTATATGGCATAAGGCTTGATTAGCACATTAATCATCACCATTTAGATATTGTTTTCTTTAGTTTTTGCACATGAATTCTGAAATACAAAAGCTTTCTCACATGTTGTTTAGCACCTTGCTAGTAACAGTGGCTTCTAGGTGGTATCTGAGCCATGGGTGAGTCAATGCTATTTGCACACAATGAAAAGGTCTCAAGAATTTACAGTTTAAATCAGGAAAACTATTAACTTTTTGTCATGAGGAAAAAACTTTCTGTGGGTAAAAGTAAGGATGCCTAAACTTGGTGCTCTGAAAGGGTGTTTCATGTGTGGAAAATTCTGTTACTTTTTCACTCCATGCAAGTATTTCAGGTATCTCTCCATTATTATGTCTTGGTAGATTTCACAGAAATATCACTTGAATTACTCCCTTGCTAAGTTGATGGTGCAACTGACTTTTAGGGACACTTCACTGAACTAAATGCAACTGTTTTGCTGAGGATTAAAAGAAGTCCATGTTAGGTATCTTGATAGGCAGTCTGTATGCTGGAAGTCTTAAGCACAAATCTTTTAAACAAAAAGTTGTGCTTTAGCTGTGGGGTTCTAGCAGAGAAGATGCAAATGGAACATATATGGAAGGGAGTAGGCTGGATAAAGCATGTTGTCTTGTTTCTGAAAGGTAGACTGACTCTGTGTAACTCTTTTCAGATGTGAAAACACTGGTGGAAAGATGTCCTTTTCTTGTCCATTTAGATCTCAGGTAAGACCTGTGCACCTAGTCCTTAAATCCTTAACTCCTTGGCAGGAGTTCTGCTGCAGAGTATCTGTGTGAAGAGAAACTCCTGCTTTGCTTGCCCTTCAGTGAAAATCAAAATTCCTCCCCTCACAACGCATACACACTAGAGATGGGTTGCTTCCATACTGAGCAAAAACATACTTCAGTGGTAGAAGTTGATGTTTATTAAATTTCTTGGCCTGAATTTTGGAAATATGGAATTTACTGCTGCCTTATACTTAAGCCTTTATTTAATGTGCTCTTCTGTACAGCGACAGCATGATGTTAAAGCCTGAGTGCTTCCAGTATTTTCGACAACTCATGTTCCTCCAACATCTTTGTCTTAGTCGGTGTTATCAGATATCACCTGCTGCCTTGGTGTAAGTAGTCTCCAAATAGTTTTGGTTTGCCACTCATGCAGAGGGGAAGTTAATTTAAACTTGCTTTATTTTAGGTTTAGAATTGCACGTACTTTTTTGAAAAGCTTGCTGGTGTGAGGAATTGTGAGTAAAACTGAGATAAAATAACCTGCTATAGCATGGACTAGGACTGCTAGAGCATGTACCTTTTGAGAATCCAGACTGGAACTAAACGTGTCTGAGATAATCTCTCAGTGATACCAATCTGCACTGATGGAACTGGCAGCTCCATGCATGCATTAGTGGCATTTTACCAATGGTACTCATTAGTGGAACTGGAGTTTCCAGTCCTGCCAGTGACCAGTATTGATGTCAGCACTGGACTTTCAACTATGCAGCAAGGTTTTGGAAAAGCTGGCAGAGTTGACAGTACCTGTTGACTAGCTAACCTCTGTGTTTTTTTTGTGAGCACCTTTATATGTAATTGATTGCAACTGAATCAGAGTTACTTGTTAAGGGGGGTTTTCCTGCCTTTTACTAGCATCGAAGCTTTCAATCTCAATACTTTCAGGAAGGATGTCAATCCAAAGGATGGTCAACAAGAAGAAAAAAGACCGTGACTGGAACAGGACTAGTAAAAATGGGCATCTGAAGAACCTTTCCTTGTAGCAGTGTGTGCTTGAGCCTTTTGACTTTGTCCAATACTTGCTTATACATACACAGGCCATCTGATGATTGGGAAAATGTAAAGCATTCAAGAAGCCAGGGCTGGATACTCACCAAAACATTGCCAAAAATTGGAAACTGATAGTACCTAGGGCTTGTTTCCTCTAAGCCATACCCTGAAAACTTCATCTGGGGCAATTTATTCCCTGTGTTCTAAATTGTAAAGTCCAGAGAAATGAAAGGGGAAGAACCAGTTTGTTTTCATTCTGTGAGAGAGAAATCAGCAAAAAATAATTTATTCATGAAGTATCAGGAGAGAATGAGTTTCAATGAAGTGTGTTTAAGTAGTTACCCTCTTCTAAAAATTAGTAGAAATGGAGTTCTCCAGTTTGGGTGCAGACTGAAAAAAAGAAAAAAATGTTTTTAGTTTCATGATCAATTTCATATTTTTCTAGAGAACTTGGTGAAATTCAAACGCTGAAGACGCTGCAGGTGTTTGGGATAGTGACTGACAGCTCCCTGCAGCTCCTCGAGGAAGCACTGCCTGCAGTGAAGATCAATCGTTCTCACTTTACAACCATTGCAAGGCCCACTGTTGGCAACAAAAAGAACCATGAGATTTGGGGAATCAAATGCAGATTGACACTGAGAAATCCGAGTTTCTTATGATCATGTACAATGCACTGGATGCAATGGACACACTGTGCATTGAAGCTCCTTAGGAAACAAAAGTGCTGGAGCACCTTTAATCATAGTACTGTTGTTGTAAAAAGCATTCTAATTTGGTCTTACACCTTAATGTTGTTTCATAGTATTTTGTAGCATTGTTTGTACTTAAAGCCTTTAGAGATCTGATGATCTGTGAGCAATTGTAGAATTTTTGAGGCTTTTTTTTTTTTTCTTTATACAGGGGATCTTTGAAAAATACTATGAAACAATCACTGTAATTAAACAATGCCAGCCTCTAGCAACTGTTGCAAGTTCTGATGCAGCTTTTATTGCACTGCACTAAAGTGTTCTAAAGGTGCTTTTGGTTAATTCTTCCTGGAAGAGTTAACTCCTGGAACAGCTTGCAGAGGTGCTAGATATCTTAATAAGGTTTATTAATGAATTTGCAGAGCTCAAAGTGAGTAAGATATTAAATCTATTCAACTACTTAATTGAACAAGATGCACAGTAGGATGAGAAGCTGTGAGCACAACAGAGGACTGAGTCTGAATTAATCAAACTTGAAAACAGTAAATTGGGGATGTCTACACTAAAGCAGCTAAGAGAGCTCAATACCATACAAGTTAGGAAGTAGCATAAATGAGCTACAGTGAAGTTTTTACTTAGCAGGCCACAAATGATACTTTTGTCTTTTGTATTGTGCGCTGTTAGCAAAATACAGCCTGAGAAGCCCATTCAGAATCAGCATCTGTAAAAATAGATGTTGGTTATCCATGCTGGTTTCACGTGGTCGTGCTAGGTTTTCTGATGAAATGTAACAGAACCTTCGTGTAGCTTCTGTGTCTGATCTCAGACAAAACTTCCTCCAAAGAGTAAGATCTTTCAACTGCAACTGATATAGTGGTAGAAATCTTACTGGAGGAAGGCTTAAATGGTTCTAGATATGACCAAAAAAAAACTAAATCATGGGACTGCAGCACAAGATTGCTAGAGGGAAGAGATGCTTTGGTGCTAGCAAGAAACATGAATTTTTCTTTTGTAATAGTTTATGTTTGTAGTAGCACTTCACTTTTTGTATCTGTATCACTAACCACTGTTGTCTAGTGTGGATTTTTTTTTTTTAAATCATAGGAAAAGCTGAGTAACTGTCCAAAAAAATTTTAAAAAACCAAACCAAATAAAAGGATAGGAGCAAGTAATGACTCTAAATGAAACTTTCATCTGCATCTATTATCAGGGTCCTTGTGCTTACGCCTAGAATCTTTCAAAAGGTGTTCTAGCTGATCAGTTCTAGGGCAAAACGTGGACCCTGTGTCGGGCATAAATATGCTCTTGTTGTTTGCAGGAATGCAGTCAGCAAGCAGGTGAATTTATTCATGGATGTTTTAGGAGTAGCCTACAGCATTACTACAGGACTATTGTGTAGGTACAGTTTTTCCCATTCAGTCTGAAGAAAAGCATTCAGGTATTAATTATCTGGTGATGCAGAACACCTTATTGTGGAAAGATTGTATGAGTACTAGAATTTGATATTTAATTTGACTTTCTAGAGTATAGTAAATAAAACACATAATCATGCTAATCTGTTTAAAGTTGTTTTGGTTTTTATTCAATTTACCAGTGTAAGTAACAGCTGATTCTCTAATGGGCTTGTGTCCCTTACAAAGGCATTGATGGGCAACATACATTGTGAAAACTGGAGAAGTGAGGGGATTTGGATATTCTACTGCTTCACCGTTTGCTGCCTTAGTTTTAAGCCTTAAATTACTTTAAGAAAAAAAGTAAATCTTTGCAGCCCAGCACTTCTCCCTGTGCACAATGTTAACTCCATGCACCTTTCTTGCATTTAATAAAGATCTAAGAAATTGCTATGTTGTACAATATGACTGATGGATGGGAGAACGTTTTCCCTAATTTCCCACCAACTTTGTGTAAACGGTTACAAAGAGGGGAATTTGTCCAACCAGTGTGTAAACTGGTGTTTTAGAGGACAGGGGGTTTATCATGAATACATTTAGCATTTACTATACTATGCTTTAAACCCTATACAGAACTGGGAGAGGAGTATGGGTTTAATTACATAGAATAGCCCTGAACTACTTGCAGCTAGCAGGTTCAGTGTTGGACTATCACTCCTCTCTTGGTTATAGTGGCAGCTGTAGCAGACACATAATGGAAGTCCCTGGGGTTAAGGTGCACCACTGACCTTTTACTAATTGAAGTTGTTTTCTCACTCTGTGTAGTTCATACCAAAAACTGCTACGTAGCAGTCTCTGCATTATACGTAAAAGCTGAGTGCATGAAACAAACTTTTGAAGGTGGAAATAAGGCACAGGAGAGCTTCATTTATCAATTAACCTTTTCATTTTTATTACATAATGTATAAACACCACGTGGAGAGGAGAAAAAAAAAAAAGGGCAAAGAATGACAGGTCTAGTTTAGCAGAACACCATGTGGACTGGCACTAAATGAAAAGACCATGGATTTGGACTCAGCAGGTAGAAGAGGTGCAAAGATCACTGCCAGTCCATGCAGATTAAATCAGTGTTAAACCAATACTCTGTCCTGTCATGGAATACTGTCTACCAGGTAAATTGTACTGTAATCCCTTGCAATAAAGGATCCTTAGAAAGTGTCCTACAATAAAAAAGGTAGCTGCTTCTTAGTATAGATTTCTGAATCATCCTAATTAACTTAAGCATTCACCAGTAAATGCTTCAACAGAAGTGCAATTAAATTATAGACAAAACCAGTAGAGGCCACTCATGAGTAAGTCAGGCTTCCATTTTGCTAAGTTAGGAATTTGTGAAAACTTACTAAGTCCTAAACCAGATCATATTTTGGATCTGTCAGGCCTGAAAACACTGTCTTTTAGTCTTGACATTCATAATAAGGAATGGCAGGCATGTTTAAGAGGTATGCTTACTGATCAGACTAATCAGTCTCCATTAAAACATCACAGCACACAAATATCTAAATCAGCAGGGGATGACATTTCTGACATAATTTGTCTATGCAGGTGTTCAATACCTAAATCTGATCTAACAGTGGCAAACTCCTAGGAAGTAATAAATTAGTGTTAATGGCATTGGTGGGTTTGGGAGTTTAACAGCATCTTGACAGGTGTACTAGATAGAGGCACATAAACCATCCCTAACTGGTTACCGATGGAGTGACAATAACTAAAACCCCCTAGTTTGTGTGCACACAACTTAAGAAAGATTAGTCTTTCACATCTTTACCTTTAGAAAAGTTTTGCAGATTTTCTTGAACATTAAAGGCTTTATTCTGACAGCTCCTGAACTTTGTTCATAAATTTTGAAAGCCTATTTGGCTACTTTTATTTTCCCCTCTGGCTCTGCAATCATGATAGCCAGACAGTGTAAATAATTCACTCTGCAGCACACTTAAAGGCAAAATGTACACAAACAGTGATAGCTTATTCAGAAATCTCCATCAGTATCACATTTTCCTAGAACTGAATGGTCAAATTTCCTCCAAATTATGTTTTGATTTTGTATTCGCTCGAGTCGTAGAAGGAAGAAATCCTTTATCCACTTCCTCCACCTATAAAGCGCAGTTCACGTTTTGCAAGTGGCAGTAAGTATACTGTTTGGCCACACTGGAGAACATTTCCATTAGACCTGAGAACATCTGTTACAGAAGTCTCTCTGTTCAAAAGTAGTTTAAAGACAACTCACTTTTGGGAGCTAATTTGTAGTAGACAGGACAAAACATACTTTTTTCAAGTCATGTAGTAGAAGAGTTCCTGCTGTAGTAATATTCACTTTGTCAAATTCTGCCCTCTCTTGTATGCAGAGTTATCAGCACATACTTTAAAAGGCAGTCACAGTTTATAGTTTCTCCAAAACATTATTTAAAAAATCACTTTCTCTTCTATAATCAGAGCTTTTTTTTCTGCTGTCAACTTGCTTACCTAACATGAGCAGAGACATGTAAAATTCATTTGTTGCCAGTTAAATATCAGTAGAATTCAGCATAGGATTGGAACTTTCTGGGGAAGATAAAAACACATGGTGAGAAAAGTGGAAGACATAGGTATTAACTTGTGCTCCAACTCCTAGTACCCAGGATATCTCATTCTTCTTTAATTATAAGAAATTCATAACCTAAAATTCCAAACCTTTCAACTTAATAAGGACAAATACCTTTCTTAATGATAGCCATCACATGCACTATTGTGACTGAACACCTGTTTGCCAGTTAATCCACTCAGGGAAGGAATCTATCTTACTTCAACATGATTTCTATAATTTGTATATTCCCACTGAAGGGCTTAAAGAAACCTTTGGGTTTTAAGTCCCTCTCTAGCCAGACAGAAAAAGTAAAAGCTACCTCATTCAAGATGTACTAAAGCAGACTTTTACTTTTGATATAAGCCTACAAAGTAGAAAAAATACTGGAAGAACAAAAAAAAAATGCCACAAGTTGTATGAAACTACAAAGTTGTACAATTTTTGAAAAGCATACAAAAGGTTTGTATTTCCATTTCTATTACATCAACATCATGGTTTACCAAAATCTATATATCCTTGCATCAAATTGCTAGATCGACAGTCAGCTTTTCTACAAAAGTGTATGTATGAAGGTACTTAGTTTCATCAGTCCCAGACTGTTACTAAAAAACTGTACATCTGAATATTTAATGCTACTGACTTAATACTTGAACCCAACTACCTGTGTTTAAAAAGCTGTTCTTTCTTACAGGTTAAAATGTCAATTTTTACTGAAGTTAGAGGTAACACTTCAGATACATTTCTTTTACACCAGATGCAAAAAGAGCTTAAATATCAGGCTTATGTTTCCCCAACCCAAAGGAATGAAAAGCATTTCAAGCTTCCTCTAAATGCTCTTGCATCTGAAAAAGCCAACATCCAGTATAATGCAGCATTGTGATATCCCCATGGTTTCCCTCTATGGATCCATAAATGTTTCAGCAGAAGACATGAGGGTCCTTCATTCTTCCAGCAGAACAGTGCACAGTGCATCCTCTGTGTCAATCAGTATCGACGCTATCGCCCCGTCATTGAACTCAAAAGATGTTCCTCCATCCACAACCATACAGGCATCCCAACAGCGGGAACGGACACAGACTCTGCAAAAACCCGAGAACTCAGTTTTCACAAAACAGCTCAAACATTTCATTATTTCACAGAAGCACTCAATAATAAGACTGATTTTTGGCCCTTCTTTTGCATGGGCCAACAAATGCTTCATCACATACTTAGA